TTGGCTGCAATAGCAGGAATCTGATATTTAGGGGTGTTTAGTTATTGGGAGGGGTCAAGATATTTATATTTGAGCCGGGCGGTGGTGGCACACGCCTTTAATCCCAGCACTGAGGAGGCAGAGGCAGGCAGATCTCTGTGAGTTCGAGGCCCGGTTGGACCGATAGCCTCCAAAACAATACAGAGAAACCCTGTCTCATAAAAACTAAAAAAAAAAAAAAAAGATATTTATATTTGAGTATAGCAATAAAAGTATTTTGAAGCTGGGTCTGCTGGTACATGCTTGTATTCTCATCACTTGGGATGCAGAAGCCACAGGATCATGAGTTCAAGGCCAGTGGAAGCTACAAAGTGAGACACTGCCTTAAGATAACGGAAAAAAGAAAGCATTGTGAGAATAACAACTCCCTTATAAATATGGATATTACTGCTGTGGTTTTACTATGTATAATATGGGTTTAATGTCTGACCTATCTTCCAGGATTGCAGGATTACTGTAGAGTTAATTGAGGACATAAAGGCTGAACTTTGTTTGGGTTGGCAAAAACTGGGGCTCATTATATGCAAGTGTGCTCTGCAGTTAAGCTGAAGGAAGAGCAATAGAGGAGCAGCCCTGGCTGTCAATCAAAACCTCACCTCTCTTCTTTGTTCCCTTGCAGTTAATCAGGATGTGTACCCATGGAGAAGGCAAGATTAACTACTATAACTTTGTTAGAGCTTTTTCAAACTGACCTGAATGAGAGGATGCGATATAAATTTTTGACATTGAACTGACGTTGAGAAATCTACTTTGTATTTACTGTACAAGTATTTACATCACTCCTGAAGCTGTTTTTCTTTTTTGGCTCTTCTATTTCACCATTACTAAAGTCTAAAGTAAATTGATTTTCAAAGAATGAAACACTGATGCCTTATTTGGATTGGCAGAGGTACCACGATAGTTTTAACTTATGGGGCCCAGGGGTTCTAGAATTTGTTAAACAGTATCCTGAATATGTCTGTAATGGTGCTTGGGATGAGGTTAACAGTTGCATTGGTAGACAAGTAAAACAGACCTTAAAGTAAGGAGACCCCCAGAAGTAATTTGAAAGCCTGAACAGAACAGAAACTGACCCAGTCCTGAGCAAGAGAACCCCCCTGCCTGGCTGCCTCTACCTGCCACTCAGCCTTCTCTGGTCCTCAGATGCAAACTTGCCGTGTCCTGAGCATGTAGCCAACAGACTGGATCTGGACCCTCAGCTGTTTTTAGCATGCATACCCAGCCCACACAAGCGCACACACACCCACTCACACCACACCACACCACAGCACACACAATTAGTTTTCTGATTCTTTGGAAAAACTTACTACAGATGTAGAAGGCTGAAGAACAGACCGGATAAAAGACTTCTCTAGAAACGTTTGGGATGTTGGAAATCAAGTTCACAGCAGCACAGTTGCTGTCAGCCAAGGGCCTCTCTACCTACCAGTCCGCTTCCCTCAATATTGTAGGGAGATACACTAATATGCTTTCCAGGGTGTAATTCTAGATGCATTAGTAGGATAAAACCAGGAAGCCTGAGTTCTGGAACAGCAATAAAGTTCTTTTCTAGTTGGTACAAAACCCAATATCATCACAAATAAAGTTTAAAAAATGGAACAGCGTGGTGCACATAGTATGGTGCCCATTTTCATTTTATGGGATATAATGTAAAGAATTTCTTTTAGAGAGCTTCACCCAGAAGAGGGGCGGGTGAGACTAGCAGCACTTTCTGGCTCTCCACTGAGCTTTGATTGACAGCCAGGGCCTCTCCTCTATTGAAGACAGCCATGTTAGATTTTTGTGAGCTACCCAAAACACGCAATGATGAGGATGAAGTTATGCAGAACTAGAATGCCCAGGTCCTCTCAAAATTGCCAAGGGGTCTCTCTGGTTTTGCCTTTTGCCAGGTGTTAGGACACATCTGACTACCTTATTCAAAGGGTCCCTTTCAGTTCTAGACTATCTCAGGAAGAAACCAGGTTTTGTTTCTTCCCATCACTTCTGGCTGTTGGAAGTTTTATTTTTAAGTACTTTAGAAAATCTACTTCAGTCTAAATTAGCCAAGCTTTATCCTGGCCTGGAAGCCTTTGGTACAGTGTGTGCTACACAAGTAGAGTCCTTCCTCTGGTGCTGTATCCCACTTCTCACCTTTGGAATATGGGAGATGGGTTAAAAAGTAGGACCAGAAAGCTAGGAAACAACATATTATCTCATTAGTTAGTAATATTCACAGCCAGAGCTAGCTAAGTGGCATGTGTCAAAGACTGGCTTATTCTCACTCATGGGGCACTTTTCTTGAGGGAGCTCTTAGGTCATTTCCCAAAGAAATCCTGTGCATGGTCCCAGTCCCCTACTGCACAACTGTAAAGGCATGTTCCCTAGGCTCCATTCCTTCCCCAGAAGGGTCTCTTGAGAGGGGCCATCTCAGGTTGATATTTCCCTCTAGGGTAGGCTCTGTAGTTAGGAAGACCAATTCCTTTCCTATAGACTTATAGACACCTCAAATATGCTTTCTGGATTCCAGAGGACTGAGCCAGGGTGACGGCTCTGTGGGTAAAAGTGCTAGGTATAAAATTCTGATGGCCTGAGTTCAAATCCCTGGAACCCATGCATCTGTCATCCCAGCACTGCTTCAGAGGCAGAGAAAGGAGCATTTCCAGGAAGCTCACAGGCCAGCTATCCCAGGGCGCCCAGTGCAATGGCAATTGAGAGACCCTACCTCAAAGTAGGACGGACTTGACCACTATTGTCCTATACTGTCCATATGCACATCATAGCATGCCCTCCCCACTCTAGTGTACACATAAACTAGATAGTTTTTAAACGTTTGAGCTTAGGCAAGTTGAGTGACAGTACCCACAGCATTCTGAAAGACCCTTCAGAAATCCATACTTTGTAGTCATTCTCAGCCATCCCTACCTTCCATTGAAGAGGAAAGCCCACAGAAGCTATGGCCGGCTCCTTGGCAATCTTTCACAGATGTATACGGCTGGTAGCACATGGAAATGCTTCCTAATCTTTCCCCATGGCTTGGGGCTTTTGTGGAAATAGAGGGGTTCCCTTTTAGGTCTTCTTCCACTCACACCCCTTTGTCTTAGTCAGTGATCTACTGCCGTGAAGGGACACCACGATCATGGCAACTCTTACAAAGGAAAGCATTTAATTGGGGGCTGACTTATGGTTTCAGAGGTTTAGTCCATTGTCATCGCAGAGGGGAAAATGGCTGCACACAGGCAGACCTGGTGCAGGAGGAGCTGAGATTTCTATCTCTGGATCCACAGGCAACAGGAAAAGAGAAGAGTGAGTCTCTGGGCTTGACTTGGGCTTCTGAAACCTCAAAGCCCACCCCCAGGGACACACTTCCTCCAACAAGGCCGCACTCAGTCCAAGAGGGCCACACCTCCTTATCTCTCTCAAGTAACACCACTATCTAAGGACCATGCATTCATATATATAAGCCTACAGGGAGTCATTCCTATTCAAACCACCAGACCCTCCAATCTCAGTTCTGAACACTTTTTTCATTTTTTCCAGGAGATACCATACAGATAGCTCTCTCTTTTGCTCACTGTGGTATCAGAGACACAGTGGTCTTATGTAAGGGTTCAGGTGATCCATGAGACAGCTAAGTGATAAAGAGATGACCATCCCTTCAAATAAACCACAGCACTACCATTACCACCAGCGGGGGCAGCATACTAATAGCCACAGCATTACCAGTTACCACCTGCAGGGGCAGCACGCTGGTAGCCACAGCCATCAGGTTTAGCAGAAGACTGATAAGGAGAGTTCATTGCTTCGGAACAGAAAAAAACTGCCTTGCGGGTCAAGACTGGCTTGGAGGTGAGCCACTGGTCTTGAGCCACTGTTCAGTTCAGGGTACATGCTGCAAATACATCACAAGAGGGCCTTGAACATACTGTTGTAATTAAGGGAATTCACTTTGTGTCTACAAAGTTTCAGTATATTTAGGACAAACAGGTGACGATTTCTCTAAATAGCTTCCAAGGGCTTCTGGGTATGTGATTTTTTTAAAATATCCTGTTGGCACACAAGCACAGGCATATTTATTAAGATCAATTTAGCCAGGTATGGTTGTGCATGCCTGCAATCCCAGCACTTGGGCAGGAGGACTGCTTACATCCAAGGCCAATCTAGTCTGCAATACAGTTGAGGCAAGCCAGGACTATATTGCAAGACCCTGTCTCAAAAATGAAACCAAAGCAACCAATGTAAAAGTGGGCATGGTGGCACATACCTGTGATTCAAGCTCTTGAGTAGCAGAGGGTGGACTGCCATGAGTTTGAGATCAGCCTGGGCTAGAAAACCAGCAGCAGAACAGTCAGAGCTATGTAGAAACACCCTGTCTCAAAAACAAAATTATATGGTTTTGTTTGTATCACGAATTTAACACTGTTGTCAGTCACCATATCCCGAGAAGCAAACCCTGCAGGACACAATGAGAAATGGGCTAAGCTAACTCATCTCACCGCTGGATATCACCCAGCATGCCATGCAGAGCAGGACGGGAACCATCTGTACCAAAGCTCACTGTCATCAGCACCACTCACTTTCACTTCAAGTAAGTCTCTGGGTGATGTTTACCCCCTGTGGGTTCCCTTGGCTAACCACCACTTGCCATTGCACTCATTTCCTGAGCACTCCCCTAGGATGGTTCTGGAACATGCAGCCAACAGCTGTGTGCAATAGCAGGCTATTTCCGTGATACCAGCCACCCTGCTGCCACCATTTTTACTAAATTGGGACTGCATTCACAGAGATTAAGACCTACATGCCCTCCAAGATGAATGACTTCACAGGAGAGTGGTCAGAGGCCTTCCATGGGTGAGTGGGTGAGGGACATCCTGCTTACAAAACCTGTTAGGAAATCCCATTTTCTAATATACTGTTATAGATGAAATAAAAACGATGCATGTTAATCCAATTACTACACAGTGAAATATTTTAGACACAAAAGCTAAAGTTGACACGGATTCATTTTTTTTCAAAGTGAGAACAAACGGTAGAATCAAGACTAAAACATATTACCACATAAAAACACATCAGTGAGTTCTACCAGAGACCATTAACAACCAATAACTCTATGCCCTTTATTCAGGTATTTCAGAAAATATTTGATCATTTGTTTCAAAATGTACATTTAAAAAATCCATACAAAACTGCAGCTTGTTTCCAAAACCAGACAGAAACAGTGGAAAAAAGGACTTTGAAAATTTTTTACCAAAGTAAAAAGACATCCCTCCCTCCCAACCCTTTTACATGAAAGCATAAATACGGAGGTCCGCATTTTCCTTGAGTTCCTTGTTGAATTTGGTCCGTAACATGAACAGGCTAATGCAGAAAATCAGTCAATGTGTCCACATTTGCATTTCTAGCTGCACAGGGACCAGCTCCTCAGCTCATCCTTTGGGTGTTTGTCAAACAGAGTAACTGAAAAGTGAGGTTTCATCACTGCCTGCCAGTTTGTACCCAAAAGAATGACAGCGCTCACTGTTACAGCCAGGTCCTGTGGGGTCAGGGCTCACTGTCACAGTCAGGTCCTGTGGGGTCAGGGCTCACTGTCACAGTCAGGTCCTGTGGGGGACAGGGCTCACTGTCACAGTCAGGTCCTGTTGGGGGACAGGGCTCACTGTCACAGTCAGGTCCTGTTGGGGGACAGGGCTCACTGTCACAGTCAGGTCCTGTTGGGGGACAGGGCTCACTGTCACAGTCAGGTCCTGTTGGGGGACAGGGCTCACTGTCACAGTCAGGTCCTGTGGGGTCAGGGCTCACCACTGTGGCTGATTCTTGGAAAAATCTCTATCCTCCCCACAGGAACAAGAAACTCTGGAATGCCTTTGGTGGTGACAGCAATGTCAGCAACACCAGAGCAGACCTTATTCCCAGACATCGACAGTCGATGTCTGAGGATTTTTTTTTCTTTTCAACACATTTTTAAAAATTTAAAACAATGTAAGAGTTTCTAAGGCGATACTACACATTCTGTGAGACTGCCACAGAAACCCACCCAGGATCATGAGAAAGAAGCAAGAAAGGGAAGGGACTGACACTTGTGTAAGGGTGATGACGACCCCTCTCACGGGTCCCCTCCCTCCCACCATGCAGGATACAGCGAGGGACAAAGGCCTGTGGGAAAGACCACTGGCTGGAGGGTTATTGCACGACCCGGAGGAGCAGGAACAGAGGAGTGGGAAGAGGCAGGCAAGGGTCAGGGAGGGGGATGGTGCTACCAACACAAGGTAACCCTGACTGGAATCCAGGAGCTTTGCAGCTACCGGACCACAGGTCCCCGATGAGCTAAGGCTTGGAAGCAGAAGTACAAGCGAGCATGATCCTCACACGAACTTGGGCAACGTGGAAGTAAAACAGGTTGGAGGGGGGTGCTGTCTCTAGTCCGGGGTGGGTGTGAGGAGACTGGAAGGGCAGGGCCAGGGGTACAAGGAGGTGACCTTCTTCCCAACCCCCAAGCTTCCCTTATTACACAGGAGGCCTGGGCGTCTGCAGCTGGGCCACCTCACAAGCTTCCATAGCCACCAGCCAAGCCCAAAGGCAACAGACTATGGGAAACTAGAGACAAAGCTGAGAACACTCGAGATCTGTGTGTGACGGAGAAAAGGGTCAGAACACACGAGGCGAAACTGTCAACCCACATCCCTTTTACCTGGAGCCGTGCTGAGGTATGGTGTCATTGGCTGCATACGCCGGTCAGCCCTAGAGCCCTGGCAGTTGGGGGCTGGCCATACAGTACCAGTGAAGGCCACAAGGCAATATAAGGCACTTCTTACACAAGAGAGCAAGGACCCACTGAGGACAAGAACAGAGAGTGTGACTCTCCTCCTCACTTGCAGAGCTTCGAAAGAGTGAGTGGCAGAAAGAACGCTTGCACAAGACGCAGGGTGAAGGGTGAGAAGTTGGCAAACGCATCCTCCGAATGCTGACTACGGGCTGGAGAGGGACCCTGCAGATGTTTTCAAAAGTCCCCCTCTTTTGAGGAAAGAAGCTGCAAGCTCAGGAGGCTGTGGGAGGCAGACGACCTCCTGACTGTTCTGACTCACAGACCTTACTCACGTCCATTCCGCACCAGTGCAGAACAGAGGTCAGACATCAAGAATGCCAATTTGTCTACTGGAGACACAGAGGCCCTTAAGCAGAGTAAGTTAGCCATGTCTAGACCCTCTACTTTCTCCTAGTCCAGACTTCTGCAAACCCAACTGAGAAGGCTGGAGCCCAGTAAAAACAAATACAAACGAAGGCCTTCCCTAGCTGAAGGAGTCAGTGGATTTCTTTAAGGACACATGGAATCGAAGTGAGCATTGTAGATTTTTTTTAAAGAATGCACTCTTTCTGCTCCTACTTTTTTTTTTTAACCACTTAGAAAAAAATGCCAATGGGTACTAAGAAGGAGGAATCCACCTTCATGGGCTCTTACAGTCCCAGGTATTTCCACAAAAGCATGGTGTCCACAGCCAGGGCATAGACGTCTAAATTTAAGTGACTTAAGGTCACCCTTAGACAGGTCAGATGGTTATGGCCACAACCATTCAGGCACACAGGGTTAAGACTGACTGGTTTTAGTCAGCTTCCCTTCCCCCCAGGACCAGTGGACTGTAGGAGGAACACACAGAGCTTATTCATAGTGTGGGCACCCAAGCCTGAGTAACTTGTAAAAATGACTGTTCCATCACCAGGCCTCTGAGAAGGGCACTGGCAAGAGGGAAGTCTCCATCCACCACTCCTGCCACTCCTGCCTGCCGGCGTCCCAGGGATACTGAGACAGGGATGCTGAGACAGGCAATGGCTGCTGAGGTAGAGATGAGCATGTTCTGGTCTTGGTGGATGCTGCTGAGCATCTTAACCTTGGAGGAGCATGGAAGGTCCTTCACTAGGGTTGGGGCACTTTGGGGACAGGAGAGACTTCGTAAAAATGAAGAATGAGGCCACTGTGCCCAACTTAGAACAAGCTAGCTGCATGCCCACAGGATGATGTGGAACTTAGTTACTGTAATTCTGGCAATGCAAGTTGTGCCAACTTACCAAAGTCTTGGCTTTCCTACAACACCAATGCCAGAGAGGCTGAGTGGATGAGAACACAGCCTAGAGTTCTCATAAGCCCCCACACATTCCTGTAGTCGAGGCTGGTGAGGTATGACCCTTGGTCTCAGGCCTTTTATCTAAAAATGAACACTGTCTTAACTCCTACCACTGACCAAACCCTTATATTCTAGAATAGCCTGCATCAATCCCAGCTATTGGATTCCTGGTAATACATCCAAAAATGAGCAACATGGGAAGCTTGCAAGACATTTAAGGAATGAAGCCACATCATGCCAGGCTTCCAAGCATCCCAGGAAAGAACAACAAAAACCCACACAGGGATGGGTCTGCTGGAGCCAAGACATCAGCTGCTCTTTGTACCTCTCTTTCTCCAAGACCTCCACATATCACATATCACAAGTGTCAACAGCTCAGCCTGGGGACAAAGCTCTTGCTGAGAGCTGGCAAGGGTCTCCCAGGGATGTAGCTTGGGGACGGTCCAGGAGGACACCTAGACTAATGGGGTGAGGTGAATTTGGGAACCACTGGCTGAACCTCCACACAGCTTTAGGCAGGGTCACAAGCATGAGCTCAATTAAACTCAACCACCAGGCTGGATGGGCCACCTTGGCTAAAGAGTGTCAGATCAAGTCTGTGGGGGCTGCTGAGGGAAGATCCCAGGAAGGAGAGGGAAAGAATGGAGAAACATACTTTCAAAACTCTGTCCTGCTTCCTAGGTATACCCAGAAAAACCTAAGGGGAATCTCATCCCTATCCTGTATGTTATCCTAGACACAGGGGAAAACAATGCCACATTGATGTTTGGAACCAAATTCCTCAATGACTTGTTAAGCTAGACTTTACATACATTGTTATTGACTTGGAGAAGGGAAGCTGCCTTGATGAAGACCCATCTCACCGTTTATGGGTAAAAAATTCAAGCTCTGGTCTCTACCATGATGTCAGAAGAAGACCAGCATATCAGGTAACAATAGCATTCCTCTGTCACCAAGAACCTCTCCCCTATGCCAGAGTTCAGGGGCCCTTTAAAGCCCACTTCCCTCTGGAAGTTCCCGCAAGGTACCATCGGGACCTGGTGACCTCATCTGCGGGTAGAACAGAGGGGAAAGAACGATGAAGGGAATGGGGCCTCAGACTCCCATGGACATGGCTACTCACACAGCCAGAAGAGAGACCCTGAGGCATCTCAATGTCAGGTTCTAGGTATGCTCAACAATATCAGCAAATGACACAGAACACTCAGGTGAGGCCAGAGGAAGGGTGGCCAGGTGACCCTCCCGGGACACCAGGGGAGCACACAGGGCTGGAGTCCTTGAGGCTTCATGTTTCTGCAACTCTCGAGATGAAGTCAAGGTTGCACGCCTGGCCCCAGACGGGGCAGGTTGCTTCTGGACTTGGGAACAGCACGTCTCAGGCAGGTTTGTAAGTGCTGTTTGGTTTGGTTTTGGATGCTGGTGGATGAGTTAAGGGAGTATAGCAGCTGGCACCGCTGGAGGAATGTCCAGATCAACTCTTCTGTCACTCTCATCACGACACATCTGCAGAAGAGTCAGCCGTGCTCTGCTCTTGAGACAGACGTGGGAAGGCACATCCTTCTTAGCACATTCCCCCCAAGAGTGAAGGCAGGCTGGTTTCCAATCCAAACACAGCACTGGCAGCGCTTTGGAGTCCTGGGACTCAATAGTTAATTAACACTGTCTTTCTGGATTAAGTCACTGTGTCCCAAAGCAAACCACTTTGGGACGGGACGTGTAGAACCAGAAGCCTACATCTTGTCAGTCAGTCAGCACCAAGAATAGAGTGATCCGAGAGGGATGGGCGGCCTTTCCTCCTCATGTCCATCCACACAAAGGCCACCGAGGAGCTGCCATCGGCTCCAAGGGAAGCCCCTTGGCAAGAGGCTTCCAGATTGACAGGTCCTGGGAGTGACAGATAGGACTGCAATCTTAGCTCCCTCTCATTGTAAAAAAACAAAAATCAGAGAAATTGCACATTACAGCCAGGAAGTGAGGAGAACAAGAAGCAGTCAGGAAGGAAGAGAAAGACGTGAGCGAGAAAGATGGCTAGGAGAATCTAGGCCTGTGAGAAGACCCGATACAGGACAGAGGTGAGGACATGAGGTGCCTCGAGAAGCAGGACAGGAAGATTTTTGGCTTTATTGGAAATGGTTTATGGAAGAAGAGGAAGCCAAGAAGGTAGAAAACAACTCCCCCTTCGATGCCAAGGTTTCTGTGATAGAGACGGAGCACGGCTAGGAGGATGCAGAGGCTGAGCCGGGGGCCAGGACTTTCTGCCTCCCTGCTGGGCCCTCACCCAGTGGATCCCGTTCTCAGCGCTTTGGCCTTAGGGAGACTTGAGTTTCTTAGTCCGTGGGGAGGTTCCGTTCTCTGCTTTCAGCACACCATTTTCATGGTACCCTGGGAATGGAGAGAGGCACACCCAAGGTTACTGCCAAGACTGAGGAAGGGAAAGGGAGGCATGGAGGGAGGCGTGTCCAGTGGCTGGAGATATGACGCCTTGTTGGATGCAGACCATCCAGGGAGGGGCCAAACTGCAGCCAGTGGAAGCCAGCAGACAGTGCAGGGTGGACCGCTGCCTGTCCTAGCGTCTGCGATGAGGGGCTTTGTTTCAGGTGCTTGGTCTTTGACTATCTGTGAGTGGAGGGCATCTGGGGTGACACAGAAACCAAGGAACAGGCGGCAGCCGACACTGATGTTTGAGCAATGCTGGCTTGAACTTATCAGCTCCTCCGGGGTCCTCAGTCCCTCAGCTCCGCAGAGGACTAATAGGTCTCAGCAGCGGGAATGGTGACAAGGAGGAGACATAGGGAACGAGCTGCTTCAGGGACAAAGCCTGACACTCCTTTTGTAGAACGGTGCAATCTTTTATTGAGAAAAATATCTCCACAAACTCAGGGAGGCTCAGACACACAGAAACCGCTCCTCCTAACCCCTGACCCCCAGGCCTCCTCACCCCCAGCTGCATACACACAAGCTCTTGCCAGGAAGGCAGCAGCTGCCTAGAAAAATGCAGGCGAGTCAGAAAACAGGCATGCAGACAGGCCCCCAGGCCGGGCCGCTGATTAGGGCTGGGATGCCTGAGGGCTGGTGGGTAGAGGGGGAATCGCTCCCGGATGCTTAGGAGCCAAAGGAGATGGGGGTGTCCCATCCCAGCTGCTCATCCTCCATCCCTCACTGCAGTCACCGTGAGTCATTCCTGAAGAGAGATTGGAAGCTAACAGCCTGGGAGGCGGGGGTGAGCCGAGACATAGAGTACCAGGGCAGGTGAGGACACAGCCACCGCATAGCACAGGGCATGGGTGACAGCGGAGACAGCAGCAGCAGCAGCTGAACTTGGCTGGATGCCAGAAGCCACCCAGAAAACATACTTCCTTCCAGAAGTCCCCACCCACTGCTACCCTGAAGCATAGTGACCAGGCCGCAAGTCCCTGTTATGGTCAGCCCGCTCACACTGGCTCTCTGGCTCATGCCCAACTACATGCTGGTCATCGAGTCCCAGGTCCAGAGAGACGCATCTAGAAGGAGGAGCCAGAGGACTGGTCTGTGGAGTCCCTAAGAGCCAGGTCCCAACTCTTCTTCCCCATCCCAGACAGACCCCACCCGCTGGCTCTCTGCCAGGGCCCTGGCACTCACCAGGTTCCCTCTTGATGGGCCTGGCTGGAAGCCTGGGGGCAGCTGGGACTCTGCGCTTGGCACTCTGCTCCTTCCAATATTCCCGCCAGTGCCGCAGCTGGGAGTGGATGAATCGCCACATGAGCCAGGCCTGAGCCACACACACCAGCAGCAGCACGCCGAGCCTGCAGACAGGAGACAGGGGCCTGAGGGTGAGGTGCAGCTCTGCAGCCTGCAAAATGGGGTGTGTGTATGGGGGGGAGATCCCTGTAGCAAAACGGGGTGTGTGAGGGGCGGAAGATCCCTGTAGCAAAACGGGGTGTGTGTGGGGCAGAAAGATCCCTGTAGCTCCAGGGGCCCACCCTCCCCACAGCCACTAGCACCAGGAAGGCTGTGTGCTTCAGCCTGTCTCTGCTCCAGCAGACTTCAGTCACGTGAGGTAAAGGCGCCACCCACACACTCACCTCCCCCCCCCCAGTCACACTCATCCTATACCTACAGATCCATAGTTATCTCTCTCCCATACGCATGACCCACAGTAAGAACAATGTGAGCTATACAAATATTGGTAACATAACTAAGTTATGAGAGCACCGAAATAATTCTCTTCTAGCATGTCATGTATAAGTGGAACGGCCCTAGACAGACTACATGCGCACTAATGCCGCTAGCTTCCTGACTGCTTTCCTTGGTGCTAGGGTAGGCCATAGAGCAAGACATGGGGGATGAAGTTCCAGTGTCTCACGAGGTTGTCACGATCAACTTATCCCGGATGAGTACTGCCCTCTGTACCATGATACGCTGAGCAAGTACAAGGGGTCTGCAGGGCATTTGGACTGGGGTCCTCACTGCAGTCTGCGCCCAGGGAAGCGAGAAGGGAAGAATGTTTGGTGGAGGAGACTGATCTCAGGAGACATGTCCCTAAATGACACTGCATGGAAGCCTCAAGGGTCTGCTCTTCCCTGACCATCTGGGAAGATGTGCCATGTTCAAGAGGTGTCTGTGCTCAGAGAGCTCTGATTCGCCATCTCGGGCTTCTGCCAACTCACCTGCAAGGCAAGGTGTTAAAGTTCCCTTTCTCGGGGTCAAACGCCTGGTTTTCCACTCGAGCCAATCCAAAGCCAATGGCCAGCACGGCGAGAGTGAGGATGAAGAGGCGTGTGACCCCAAACGCAGCAGCCCAGGCGTTAAACCTGCTCACAGGGGCAGAAAAGGAGTGTCAGCTTTGAGAACTCCTCAAGGAATCTTCACTCCCTTCTCCAGAAGCAGCCCATAGTGGGACAGAGAACAGGACTCAGCAGGGTGAGAATTCTAGGACTTTTAGATCATGGAGAAGCATAGGGTGCTATCTGCACACAGGCAGCTGACACCCAAAGTAGGAGCCTCCAACCGCTCAGACCCCAGCAGATGCCCAGGTCCCACCCCAGAGGTCTCCGGTCAGGCCAAGCCCGGCCACCCCACTCACAGCCTCTCGTTGTTCTCATCTGCGAAGTAGAGGAGCCGAGCCATGTGGAAAAGGAACTCAGTTGAGTACTGCAGCAGCAGCAAGATCAGGCCCAGGCGGCTCAGGCTGGGGGAAGAGATGAACCTTACCTTCTCTGCAAAATGCCTCAGGCTGCTGCTCCGTTCTCCACTTCTTTGGGGTGGAGTGGGGACAGGACAACTATGCCTTATCCTTTGTGACAGCTGAGCTGCTAAACCTTCAGGTAGTTTCTTGGACCTGCTTCAGCTAGGTTAGCTGCCCTCACTTGTCCCCACAATGAACCTGACTCATGCATAAAAGGGGGCCGAACTTAGTGGGTACACATATGAAGATATCCTGTTGTCTAACTTCCCACTATCTGAGGCAGCAGGACACTCCCCCTGTGGGGTGCTCAATACACACTGTTGGGGAGTAAACCTGTCACCATAACCTTTCTGCATGTGAGTTGTGAGCATTCAATATCAGAGCACAGCTGGAACAGCTGCCATGACCCTTGGCCTCTAGAGACAGGAAGCCAGAGCTTGAGATCTGGTGGACTCCAACACACACACACACACACACACACACACACACACACACACACACACACACCTGGACACCATAGTGAAGCTCTCAAAGGCTAGCCTACACAAAGAGCTTGGGTTCTACTCTGCACAAGGAAAGCCCAGTTACCAATGGCATAGCTCATTTATCAATGTACTGTCCATAAAAAAGATTCTCACGGTCTAACACAGGAACTCTTCCCACTTCTAGAACAACCATACAGCCCACTGCTCTCTATTTCATTACAAACCAAACCAAACCAAACTCTAGGGCTATACGCTCCAGCAGCATTCAGACACCATGTGTCAGGAGCCCAGTTTGTGGCTGCAAAGTCATAGTTCAAAGGGCAGCTTCAATGGAAGTCTTCCTTGGCTCTGCCTCAGGCCGAGGTGGCTAACGCTCTGGGTTCTCATGGCTGAGGGTGCGTCACACCTCAGAGCTCATCACATCTGTCTTTCCGACCAGGTGGAGAATGAACCACTGAAGGCAAGAGACTATTCCACCGCGTTCTGTACCCAAATTCTCAGCATGGCACTACTCAAACAGTTGGTGTCTACTAAATGCCTGCTAACTGAGGGATCATGTGGATAGACACAGGGGCAGAAAGGGTCACGGAAACGGGGCTGGCTTGGCTCTCACTCACTTTAAGAGGTACGCCCCGGCGATGTGGAGCAGGTACAGGCAAATGTACTGCAGCTGACGGGGGATTTCTTCCTGGAAAAGAGAGGGGCGGACAGTGAGCACGTCTATCCTCTGAATATGCAGACGCCTGAGGGGACGTGTGAGGGGAACACGGAAGCCCCAGGTCTCCCTACCCCCCACAGTCCCATGTCACACCGGAACCCCAATCACTGGGCTATGGACAAGGGGTGAGGCAGCGGCTTCAGGCCTGGTGCCAGAAGGCTGGTCTGGATTGGGATCTGGAAGAGGGTTTTCAGCACTACCCCGAGGAAAACTGGGGTATGGCAAGATCTTCTCTGTCCAGCATCTAGATTAGATTAGATTTTGCCAGTGGCCACACATCTGGTGGAGGAGTCAAGAGACTGACTGCTCTCTTGGGGGTCTGTGGAACTTCACAAGAGCTAACTCCATCTTTAGCCAACACGCCATGCCTCCAGAGAAAGGGAAAGGAGGGCCGTAGGAACGAGGGGCCTCCAGAGCGGGCAGGAGAAGGGCAGACTCACCTTCCGTACCTTCTGGAAGTAAAGCTCAGGTAGTGAGTGCAGCCAGTAGGCCAGCTGACACAAGTAGAAAAACTTCACCTGGAAGCTGCAGACAAGGGAGTTAAGCAACACACGTGGGACCAAGAACATCCCCGGGTACTTGACAAGAACACAGGGAAAGGCCTAAGCTGAGGCTGTGGGTGACCATCAGCGCCAGGAGCAAAGGAGGGAGGGAGGGAGGGAGGGAGGGGGAGGGAGGGGGGAGGGAGGAAGGGAGGGAGGGGGAGGGAGGGAGGGAGGGAGGGAGGGAGGGAGGGAGGGGGAGGGAGGGAGGGAGGGAGGGAGGGAGGGAGGGGGAGGGAGGGAAGGAGGGAGGGAGGGAGGGAGGGGGAGGGAGGGAGGGAGGGGGGAGGGAAGGAGGGGGAGGGAGGGGGAGGGAAGGAGGGGGGAGGGAGGGGGGGAAGAAAGGAAGGTAGGGAGACAGAGACCACCACACCCACAGTACCATGAATGATACCATTTAAAGGGCCACGGTAAGTCCACGAGAGGAAGTAACAGTGGGTTAGCACATCTTTTCAGCCCAGAGAAGGAAAAGCTGAGGAGGAAACTGATCACAGCACCCTGTGTGTGGCCATGGCAGCCACTGAATACAGTGACAGAGAGGCGCTGGGTTTTTAAGCTCCTCACCCTTTTCTATGGCTGCTCTGAGAGGCCTTAGGGACACAGGGTGGCCTCTGAAGGGAGACAGGCCCAGGTCTTGGCAGCATCACAAACAGGAACAGGAGTGGAAGATGTGCTATGAACTTACGGGGTCTCCAGTGAGACCCAAAGCCAGATGGAGAGTTCTGTTTGCATGTGTTGCACGCAGACTAGCTACCTCTATGGATGGAGCTAAAACCAATAAGGCCTCATCATGTGGAGATTCTCAAAGACAGACCTACTACTTGCAACCCCATGCTCCATGGGTTTAGGTGATGACCTGGTCCTCAAAGGCCTTAGAGAGTCACACGGATACTCACGAGAGGTACACATGTGGGTAATCTTCCCAGAGGCTCCTCAGGTTCGTTAAGTATCCTTCCTACAGTGGGCGAGAAGAGAAAAAAGCATTTAGAGATGTGGCCATGTGACCTGTTGGGGCCTGTGACTAGTTCAGGGATCAGGGATGCACCTGACCTCGATCAGCTACCAACAGGAACAAATAGCTTTTGGAAACAAAGGAACACAGTGTGTAGGACCTGCTGGCACCTGCCGAACTGTGAAGGGACATGCCATGCTCTGAGGTCTGGTGACTTGTGTCTGAAGATGGGCCTGACAGTAGCTACATCTATTGAAACAGCTTGCTAGTTTCCCAGTTTCCTCAGGCTCATATGTAAAGTGAAGCACTAACTTTATAGAGTTACTGTTGGAAATAAGTGTGAGTTTATGTGACAGTGTCTGGTGTGGTATCTGCCATATATACGTACACTCAAGGATTGCTTCCATATTAAAGGGGTAGATACACTAGAATTACAATACCCACTGGAGACTGAAACTTTTCACATCATTGTGATGGTTAATATTGACAGGTTCTAGAATCACCTACAAGACAGACCTCTGCTAGTGATGATGAAGAATTTTCTAAATTAGGCCAAGGAGGGAAGACTCATACTGTGGGTGTCACCACCATATTGGCTGAGGTCCCAGGCAGGAAAAAAAAAGGAGAAAGAGAACTGAGTACCAGCCAGCATTCACCTAGCTCTGCTTCCTAACTGGGTACACTGTGACCCTGACGCCCCTGGATGATGGACTCAAGCCGTAAGACCACAAGCCCTTCCCTCCCAAAGTTGCTTCATCACAGCAATAGGAATGCTAACTAAGACACTCTCCTCAGCCAAAGACCGGCATCACTCCTAAAGACAGCCAAGATGAATCTTTAATATAAGACACAGGAAAAGACAAGCAACGCCCAGCAAAAGTCCAATAAGAATGAGTGAATAAATGATGAATGTTTTCAACAATTCTTTTCTGAAGAAAAAGAGGGAAATGACGAAACAGATAGGCAAGATTTCCTGAGAGGAGGTTTGCCCAGTAGCCCCGCTGCAATCTGAGCTGGAGAATGGGAAAGTCCACAGAGTTGGGGACATACCTCAAAGGTGCTTTTTGCTAAAGCTACAAGCTGTAGTTCCAAGATCTGATCCACCTGTCCTCAAGTCACTAAAGCCCCACTCACCTACACCAGGCATTCTGAGTACTGTCCACAGGCCTGAAGCTACAACCCTGGGCCTCCAGGAGCACAGTGACCAGGTGAGCTACCTGGCAGATACCTGTATCAGATAGACATGGCAACCTAGATTGGAAGGAAGAGGTCTCACCCCAACCCTTACTGGCTCAACTATAATCTCTGCTCAACTCTACGTCCCCCTGCCTTGGGCACACAGGGAGGCCAGGAGTACGGGGCTCTGGACACTCGAATGGTGGTGTGTGGTAGCAGTGAGCTTTACCACACCTACACCGCTCCTCTCTGTCCCACTTTCCTTTGTGCCCTCAGGCACAGTGACATCCAATGAGCCACACTGCCTCATTCAAGGAAACCCTGAAGGGTGAGATGGTCCCTTAACAAGAAGAGCGGTACTTCCTGGACTCGCTGGCAGTGTGTGTGTGTGAGGGGGGTTGGCCAGGATCCGTGGCACCCCAGAGACCCAAGGCCAGGAACTTCTTGATTGGCCTCTTCACTTAGGAGACAGAGAGGTCAGAACTTTGAAGCCAACAAGCCAGAAAAACTCCTCAGAAAAATGCTGCCTGCTTGCAAATGTCCAGCCCACTGGGACTGGAGGAGGTGGAGCTGCGAGTCAAAGGAAAAGTGACTCACACTCTGAGGAGCCCTTTCCAGCCCTGTCTAGGCAGCTGTCTGAGGGAGGATAAAGGAGGGCTGGCTGCCTCCGAGTTCAGGCATGCCAAGGCATCTGAGTTCCAGGGTCACGTGCGTGCGACACAGCAAACGCTGTAACCCCTTCCAGCCCAAACCAGGGCCTCAACAGGTGGCTCGGGGGACATGTGAGTCACTTTGTTCTCTTCAGATTCTTGACATCTGCCCATTCGCGGCCTCAGCATGCTCGAGCAATCGCTCCTATTTCCCTCGCTGCCTTCCTTTCTGGTGACCAAACAGGAACCACCAAACTAGCAGAATTTAGACACAGCACAGCCAGCTGCTACCTAGACCCAGACATTTGCCTTAGGGTGTGCCAGGGACTGCACTACGGGTGCAGCAGTGGGCGTGGTGCCTGCTCTGGGTCAGACATGAAGACTGCACGCATGGAGCGCTAAAACACCGCTAACAGGCATGGTGTGGAAAAGGCAAGCGGGGAGGGTGTCCCGAGGAAGTGACACTCAGGGAGGAGGACAGACGGCAGGAAGGGACTGGCCATCTGATGTCCGTGGACAGAGCACTCCAGCCAAGGAGGAGGCCAGCAGAGCTGGAGGAGCAGTGCATGAGCATCGTCCACCGCTGATGTCACCAGCAAGGTCCCAGGTCCCAGGTCCCAGAAGCGAGGAAGAGAAAACAATTTCACTGCAGCTGTGAGGGGAACTTGTTGTAAGTGGGAGAACACATGATTTAGCTCATGCTTTAAAGAGATCCAGCTGGCGGAGCGGATAATGGGCTGAGTGCAGGGTCCAGAGTGGGAGCACACTCCTCAGGAAAGGAAGAAACAGCCATGCAGCCAGAAGGTGGAGGGGGCCCGCGTTATGTATCCTTTACTTAAGTGACAGCTGGAGCCAGAGGAGCTTCCCTGTGAGACTCTCCTCTGAGCTGAAAGAGAGAGCATCTCTGACCCTGCTAGGGATGCCGGGGGCCCACAGGACTTGGAAGAGTGGTACATGCAGAAAGCGGACCTGAGGATTTCAGAACTTTGAAGGCGGAGCAGCCAGGATCCGCTGACTTTGGGAAGTGAAGGAGAGGGAAGAATCGTGACAACTTTCCACTGCAACAGAAAACTGTGATTTGAAAACCAGGTGTTTCTGCTCCCTTTACAAAACAACTCCTCGGGGCTGGAGAGACGGTGCAGCAGCTAGGAACACTGACCGCTCTACCAGAGGACCTGGGTTCAATTCCCAGCACCTACGTGGTGGCTCACGACTGTCTGTCACTCCACTTCCAGGGGATCCAACACCCTCACCCAGACACACGCAGGCAAAACCCCGATGTATACAAAACAACATCTCAAATTCTCCATCGCCCTCCCTCCCATGCAGATGGCTGGGCTAAAGATGAGGTACAGGGAGTAAAACCTGCATGGAGTCCCAGTCTCCATGTCTTGCTGAGCGTGTTGAGTGGGGAATGGGCTTTCTAAGAGATGAAAGACCTGGGAATTTCCCCAAGAAGACCCTGGGTCTGGTCATGGCCAGGGTGGGACATCACAGTGAGGGTCCTCACGGTGAGGGTCTCAGAGATGAAGCACTGCTCCCCCCAAAAACGGTCCAGTGTCTTTGGTGTGCTGAGGCCTTTTGGCCTCAAGCAACTAAGGCCTCCAAGAGGTGGGCATGGATTCAGTGTCAGGAAGCTGGGAGAGGCCCGAGATCCCCTAAAGTCCACAGACTCACTACACAAGAGCAGCGGCCCCATTGCTGCAATGTAGCTCTGTCCCCTGGGAATAGGAATGTTGGGAGCCCCCTCTGAGAGGACGGAAGTCTTTGCTGTCTCATTTAAAATTCCTAGCGTGCTGCTCAGAAAGTCTTCTGAGATGAACTGATAATGGGAATAAAAGCAACACGCAAGAGGGACATGTTGCCTCCTGCTTTAAGTCAAGGCAGTCAGGCCTCGGTCAGCTCTGGAGTCAGGGTTCCTTGTGACAGGAGGGCCATCTCTGTCCGGGAGGGCACAGGGAGGCAGCAGAACAGCCAGGGATCTCTGAGCTCAGAGAGCTGATGTAATTTCTAAACTCCAGGCCTGCATTCCTGCTGGGCTGCTTATAGACCAAAGTTGCCCCCGAAGGACATGGCTGCTAATAGGACAGTGAAGTAGGCAGGGTCCCTTACAGTGAGCCCCAAAGGACAATCCAGAATCCTTATCCGGAGGGATTTTTGTTTCTGTAGCAAATGATCTGGTGTACAGAGGGTAATGCTGGCCTTTGTTAATTGGTTAGATGTGAAGTATACTCTTAAGACTTGTGTATGTACGGCTCCGTCCCTGGTGCAATGCTCAGGGCTGGGGCTTTGGAGAAGTCATCAGATTACGTGGCATCAATTGTGGTACTACTGGGTGGTGGCAGAGGCTAGGGGTAGGGCCTAGCTGGAGGAAGTAGGTCACTGGGACATGCTCTGAAGGGGGCACATTGACCCTGGCTTCTTCCTCTGTGTCTGCTTCCTGTTCACTGTGAGACAAAGGATCTCTTCCTCAGGCGCAAAGCAGTGGACTCAGTCACCACAGACAGGAGCACTGCTACTATGAGCCAGGGTAGGCCTTCCCTCCTTCCAGTGGTTTGTATCAGGTATTCTGTCTTAGCGACGCAAATAGAGCCAGACCTCCAAGTCCAAGCCATGCTTCCATGATTGCCATTTTGGGAGTCCGTGGCCGGGGACACACTGGAAAAACCGAGCTCGGGTGTCTTAAGTCAACATCAGGGGTATTGAATGAAGATGAATCTATCTTGTGGATGGGGATGTAGCTCACAGGGAAGAGCATTTCCCTAGCATGTTCAAGGCCAGTACTGGGCGGAAAGTTACCCCATGGGATGGCGTTTGAAGACAGGGCTGATATAAGAACACAGAGCTATGAAGATACCTGGTATCGTAATGCAGGTAAAAACCGTAACAAGCGCTTACTTTTGTAAAAGAGGACTCCATTCGGTGGGCATCTACACTACTTAATTGAGCCACTCCCTATAATACCAGGAGAGTGCAAAACGAGTTTCAATTCCAAGGCACTCGTCCCTAGCTCTTTTTCTCCCGTTACTGTCATTTCATGGGCACTGAAGGGCATGCTTGGTGACTCGGCTTTCACTCTTCAGCAGACCACTCACCGTTACGACCACGTAGAGGCACCATATCACCGAGCTGAGATGAAAGACGACCAGCTGTCCAGATTCATTGAACTTGCTGTGTTTGACCTTGGAGAGATGAAGCCGCTTGCTGATTTTCTGAAGAAGAGAGAAAGCTCTGCGTGTTAATACACCGGCATGGGGATCCCCAGAAGATTACATGCTCCCATTTCCCCTATACAAAAGAGTTAAGAGTTTGAACTCCTTACAACCTAAGCTGTTTAGCATAAGCCTACTGCCTGCCTATGGTGCTGAGGTCCAGGTCAGCACTTTGAGAAAGCAGTAGGTGCTAAGGTTGTTAGCTTCTTCGGAAAGAAAACATCTTCCAGTCATGCTGGGTTTGAAGGACCCCAAAGATATGCCCATGCTGTCTTCCAGGCAGCTTTCTCCCTTATAAATGGCTGCCCCGCATGTGAACTACAAAATTCCGAGAGAGGGGACAGAAACAGAGTGATGAGGGGGTCTAGCCTCTAGGGCCAATCAGAGGATCTGTGTTAGTGGACAGAACGAATCAGAGCTGTGGTTTTCTTCAAGGTAAGGCTCACCATCTTAATGGACCACCCAACTTCTGCCCTCAGAGTCCAAACTCATCACTTACGTCTAAGATGTACTCTTGTACCACAGCATGCAAGATGACGGTGATGAAGACGTAGAACAAGATGGTGACCAGGTCCTTTGGGCCGTAGTGGTAGTGGACTGTCTCGCTGTCTGTGGGGTAAAAGGGATCTTGTCAGCATCCTGTCAGCATCCCCCGGGTGAGGAGATGCCCTGAGACTCCAAAGGGGAGAGAGATGGAAGACACAGCAATCTCTCAGTGCTCCCATCTGCTGCACCCCGGGTTCAGAGGAAAGCTTCTGCCCCAGCAGTCTGCCTTATCTCTGGACTGGGAAGCCCAGAGCGTGACGTCTGCATGGCTCTTGGGTACTGGCAGAAGGGCACCGCAGCCCATCACTGCCGGGCCATGTGTCTTTGGGTAAATGACTAACCTCTCTGGGCTCAATTTCCTCCCCTATGTCATAGTCCTGTCCTTTACTTCCTGCGTCACTGCGAGGCAACTGTCTAAGTTCTCTTTCAGTGCTCAGGCTTCTATGTCTGAAGTAAGGATAAGAGCTCCTGTACCACGGGGTTTTATATTCATACATATATCTATATCTATATATATGTAAAAGATGGACTCATGTTAAGTACTGTGTGATGATTCTGCAACCTGACTGAATTTAGAATCGCCATGGAAACGTACTTCTGGATCTATCCCTGAAGGTATTCCCAGAAATGTTTAGCTGAAGAGGGAAGACCGTGCCTGCATGAAGATGGTAACGCCCCCCATGCAACTGAATAAAAGAGGAGAGTGGGCTGAGCAAGCCCATCTGTTTCCTAACTGTGACACAGCGTTAGCAGCTGCTACAAACTCCTATACCATGCCCTCCCCACCATGATAGGATGGACCCTCAAACCGTGAGCTCAAATGGACCCTCTCTGCTCTAACCTGCTCTTATCAGGTATTTCATCACCACCATGAGAAACGTACTTAATACAGTAAGTGTGGCACGTGTGTGTGTGTGTGTGTGTGTGTGTGTGTGTGTGTGCACATGTGTAGTGTAGGGGGTGTGTGTTTGGTACATATTGGCTATTACTTCTGCTGCTGGGCTTCTGTGAGGGTTAAAAAAGACAAGGACTGGGGTGTCAGTGAGGAGGCCTAGGCAATCTATGGGGCCTTTGGTAGTTGACCAGTATTTATTCCTGGCATACAAATGGACATTGGGTGCCCATCCCTCAATGAGAGATGCACTCTCACCCTGGACTCTTGGGGGGAGGTTCTAGGCCCTGTCCTGGATGAAATGACAGACTATGGATAACCCCATGGAAGAACTCACCCTCCCTGGGGAAAGGAGGGGGTATTGGGTGGGTGGTGGGAGGGGGTGGGAAGAGGGGAGGGAAAGGGAGAGGGACATGAGATTAACATGTGAAGAAACCTTGTTTCTAATTTGAATTTAAATTTAAAAATAAAATTTTTTAATATAAAAAAAAAGACAAGGATTTGTAGCATAGTACCTAAAATCACAGCAGGCTTCTAGCAAATGGTGGATTATTATATAAAAAATAATTAAGTTATGTAAAAGAATTGTCTGGTTTTACAGATAGGGTCTTATTATGTAGGCCTCTACCCTGTGGCAATCCTCCTGCCTCAGCCTCCTGACCACAGTGTTGCCATGCCAGCTGAGAAAGGACGGCTTACAGTCTTGCTCCAGTGAGGCTGGCGGGCACACGCCTGCCTGGGGCTCCAGCTCTGCGACTGCCCTCCCCTGCAGACGTGCTGGCTGCCCTTCCAGCTGTGCGGCTGAGCCTGAGTCACACACGGATGAGTCATCTCTGCTGGGATGCATTTACCAGAAGGCAGGCCAGGGTCAGTCTGTTTCACGGTGGCCAGAGAAAGAAGCAATTTTGAACTGGGTCACTGTGGGAGTTCCTGCTAACTTCAGCCACCCTGGACTGGGAGAACGTGACAAGAGGGCAGAGTCTAGGACAGAGACAAGATCTAGAAATCTCACACTTTCCTTTTCCATCTCCCTCCACCTCTCTACAAATACCTATGTCATGAAAGGCATTGGGCTAGCATTAAGTCTCTGCCCTTGGGGGTCAGATCCAACTGGGGGTTGGAAAACGGAAGTTGCACTATAAACAGGCCCACCGCCAAGAGGCAGGCAGAGGCTACAGTAGGCAAGGGTGGACTATGGCTACTGGGCACGTACTGGGTCTTATTGGCTAGGAAGACCAGGAAGTCATGGAAATCTGGGTCCAGGCACATTGTACGGGCATTCCAGGCCCAGGGATTAAGAAAGGTGCTCAAAATCGGGTGAATGACAGGGCTACCATGGCCAGCCTAGGAGCCACTCAAGTGGTGTGCTCTCTATGCTGAAGGAAGTGGAGAAGCAGCCAAGTACCTGAATTAAAGAGCCAAGTGCTGGGATTTGTATTACAGAAAATGTCCCGAGCAGCAGTGAACAACATCAAGCCCACAAGTAGGGACAGTGTTGGGAAGCCACCCCAGGATCCAATCCGGTAGGAGGAGAGACAGGTAGGGCAGAGAAAGGCAGCCAAGGATGGAGGCAAGTGTTAATCCACCCAACAGGGAAGAAGCCACAGAGGAGAAGGGGAGGGAGGGAGAAAGGAGGGAGGTAGGAAGGGAAGTGCAGAGAGAGAGAGAGAGAGAGAGAGAGAGAGAGAGAGAGAGAGAGAGAGATCATCTCTTCTGCCACTGTAGGACTAGGTTCTGTTTCCCTTCTTGCCTCCTTCATAAATGAGGGACAAGGGAGACAAAACTAGGGCATATTTTGGAACTATATTAGAACGAGGCATGTACAAAGTTTCACCATCAAAGTCACCATTAGGGAAACCGGGGCCCACATCCAACCAAATAAGCGTAGTCTAAAATTAGTGAAATAAGAGCAGGGTGGTGGTATATGCATGCTTGCAGTCCTAGGAAATGGTGTCCGACATCACGGAGCATCAGGGAAATGCACATGAGAATGGCCTTCCCACTAGGAAAGCTACAATTAAAGAAAATAAAACATCTTGCTGGGGATGTGAAGAAATTGGAACCATGTGCTTCGTTGGTGGGAATGTAACTCAGAGTAGCCACTTCAGACAACTGTATGGAAGTTCCTCAGAAAGCTTAAAATAATAATTAGCATAGGGTCCCAGCATGACTGTTGAGTATAAATTCAAAAGAATTGAAAACAGGATTTCAGGGCTGCAGAGATGGCTCACTTGGCAGAGTATTTCTGGCATATGGACTTGAGTGCTACCCTCAGAACCTACATGCATAGCCAGGCATGGTGGCATGTGCTTGTAATCCCAGTGCCAGGGAGGAACAAAGGGCCAGATTCCTAGGTCAGCCAATCCAACCCATTTGGCAAGTTCCATGCTAACAGCAGACTTTGTCTCAAGCTCCTGAGGAAGGATATCCAAAGCCGACCTCTGACCCCAAGGCACGCTGATAAGCACCCACCCAAATACATACATACCCATCCACACACAAAGAAGACAACACTAGAAATACCATACAAAATCAGGGGATAAAAAGTAAATAGGAAACATGAAGGAAATCTAATTCAGACACATGTTCTACCCCCACTCTGAGATTTCTTAATGCATATATGCAAATATTCCCCAACGAAAAGACATCAGTAACATTTGCATGTACATGTGCAAAGTGGTATTCAGGACAGCAAAAAAAAAAAGTAGAAGGAATTCAAGGGTCCATCAATGGATGAATAGACTGACAAAATGTGGCGTGCGCACACCCTGAAATATTTCTCAGCCTTCAAAGAAAGGAAATACAGACACATGCTTTAACACTGACATTACATCAAGTGAAAGAAGCCAGTCACAAGATGGTAAGACATATTGGATCCCCAGGGTGCAGGCTCCCTAGGACTGTCAAATTCTTACAGACAAAAAGGAGAATGGCAGTCACTTGGGACAGAAAGAGAAAAAAAAGGGAGAAGTTGCTCAGTGGCTATCGGTTCAGATTATTTGACATGTTTGTGTAGATTGGTTGAAAAACTATGACGTACTTAACGCCTAACCGCAACCTTAACGTTACTAACCATTTTACTTAAAAATAGTTAAGATGAGAGGTCTTGTTGTGTTTTGCCACAATTAAAACATTATAGAATGGCAGTGGCTTAAGTGGACCCAGTCTGAGGTCAAGGGAAACCCACAGAGGGCTTTATAGACCACGGTGAGCTCTGTGGACTTCCTTAAGGCAGCAGGATGCCCAAGAAGACTGACAAAGATTTATTTCTGGCCATACAGTCACAAGGGTGTCAGGGAGGTAGCCGTCAGTGGGTAGCTATGGGTGTCCAGACAGTGGGACATGGACAGGGGCTCTGCTCTAGGATGGAACAATGGGACAGACAAAGCATGATGATCTGGCTGCAGGAACAAGTCTCAAGTCCTTTCGAGACTTTACCTGTGTTCTGCAGCCCTCATTTACCTCTGCATTCTTCAAGGAGCACCGTGCTGTGTAACAGACCCTTGGAGTCATCTTAGGAGGTGGGCAAGAAATGTCCACATCTTGCAGGGATGTGGACATTTCTTAGCTCTCCAAGTTTCTAGAGCCTCAGTCCAGCCTCTAAATGCTACTTCAAGGTCAACCCCACCTCATGCTATCCTTGGCTCCATCACCAACAATAAGTTGCTCCTTTGAGTCATCCTCCTACAATCTTAAGGAACAACATCACACCCAGGTTCTCTAGTGGTACACTGAGGCATATATCACCTCTGCACTTCCTTCCTTATCTACTTCCTGTTTGATTAGAGGAAGGAAAACAAATAGATTCCTATTTTCTATAGAGCCACGGAAACTGGAACTTTGCTTCAACAAACTCATACCTGATTTTTTTTTAAAGTATTTTAAAAAGAGTTGCTTACTAACACATCTAAAACAGCTTCTGGGGCTGGAGATGGCTCTGAGGTTAAGAGGACTTGCTGCGCATTTTAAGGACCCAGGTTCGGTTCCAAGAGCCCACACATGGTGGCTAATAACCATCTCTAACTCCCGTTCTAGAGGACCCAATGGCGCCCTATGTGGCCTGTGTGGGTACTGCACATGCATGGCACATAAACATGCAGGCAAGTACTCATACACATAAAATTTTAAAAATGAATCTTTAAAAAAAAAAGAACTGTTTAAAAGAAATCAC